TTAGCTGGAAGTATCACAGATGCGTAATCAAAAGGCTACCACAGCCAGACTGTTTGCTCTTTAGGATTTCTAGATATTGCTCTATCCTGTACCCTAGTTTACCCTACCCCCTGTAATCAATAAAGTTCTCCTTTTTGACTGGTGTGGGAGACTTATTGAGGGATGGGTCTAAATTATGCCTAAGAGACCCCTTAGGTCTGCAGACTAAGGGAGACTTTCCTTTTTGCCCCCGGACTTGGGGAAGTGCCCCAAGTGCCTGTATTGGGTCGAGTACCCATAGGACTATTAGGCCTGTGTTTCCCTGAGGACACAGGGCTGAGACAGTCCACTCTCGGGGTGGTGGTGGCATGTTACCCCCAGACTAGCGAGTGTGCTCCAGGAGAGGGATTGGCCTGACATAAGGCACCCCAGGGAGGCATTCAGAGCCTGGAAGGTGGTCGGGCGCAGGGAGGTGGGTGGCTCAACGCAGGAGCACCCCCTACTGGCCCACCTCACGTGGTGGAAATAGCAGTGGGATACGAATACCCAGCTATTTTCCTGAGGTGGGATCGCTGCACCCCCCACAGCATACGTACATTTTTAGCAAGTCTTTTGATACAGTCTCCCACAACATTCTCGCAGGCAAGCTAAGGAAGTATGTGCTGGATGAATTGACTGTAAGGTAGACAGAAAACTGCCTGGAGCATCAAGCTCAGAAAGTAGTAATCAATGGCTAGATACTTAGTTGACAGCCAGTATCAAGTGCAGTGTCCCAGGTTTTGGTCCTGGGCCCAGTTTTGTTCACTATTTTCATCAATGACTTGGAAGATGACATAGAGTGCACCCTCAGCAAGTTTGCAGATGACACCAAGCTGGGGGGGGAAGTAGTAGAGGGAAGGGCTAGGATTCAGAGTGACCTAGATGAATTGGAGGATTGGGCCAAAAGGAATCTCATGAGGTTCAACAAGGACAAGTACAAAGTCCTGCATTTAGGATGGAACAATCCCATGCCCTGCTACAGGTCTGGGGCTGACTGTCTGGGCAGCACCTCTGCAGAAAAGGACCTGGGGGTGACAATGGACAATAAGCTGAATATGAACCAACAGTGTGCCTTTGTTGCAAAGAAGGCTAACACCATACTGGGCTGTACTTGTGGGTGTGTTGCCAGTA